TTCTTCTTCTTCTCCTCCTCCTCCTCCTCCTCCTCCTCCTCCTCCTCATTCTGCTTCTCCTCCTCCCCCTCCTCCTCCTCCTCCGCCCTCTCCTCCTCCTCCTTCTTCTTCTCCTTCTTCTTCCTCCTCCTCCTCCTTCTCTCCCTCCCTCCCTCTTCTGTATCAGAAGTTTGGGGACCCCTGCTCTACAGGGTTATATAGAAGGACCATCTCAATCTCAAGTCAATGTCCAGAAGAGATGAAGGCTTCCTTCCTCCTTTCTAAGGCTTCTCTCTGGACGATCCGTGTTCCTGATCTTACTCAGCCATGTAGAATCCAGGTTGACGTTTCTATGCATCATCAAAGCCTCCAGGGGCTGAAATTCTCAGTTCTCTCCTGGGCCTCGAGCGAAATTGTGACGGCTGAATGGGCAGAGACATGGACCTTGCTAGACAGCTCAGCCAAAGCAGAAGTCCCGGCCTGCCCTCTCCTTCCTTTTGGGCAAGGCATGAATCGCTGCCATGGCCAACTCAGGTCCCCAACGAGTGGCTGTCACAGTGGGCATTCAGCCTTCATTGACATTTGCAGAAGGGTTGGAGGGACCCTCAAGGGACCCTGGCAAGAAGGTTCTGATGAGCTTGGCCAAAGGATCCTGCCGGCTGAAATCTCCTTCCCTCTGATCAGACAGTGCCGCCCCCCCTGCAGGAAGCGGCTTTCCTTTCTCTTCTGCCAGGAAGTTTCTCCTCTTGTAAAGAAAGACGCCAGCAGTGACTCTGCTGCAGAACCCACATTGACTCCCAGGCGCAACAAGGAATTGAACAGAGTAGAATAGAAATAAGAGAAGAGGGTACAGAATGGAACAGGGATAGAAAATAGAATAGAATAGAATCAGAATGAATGGAGTGGAGTGGGATGGGATGGGATGGGATAGGATAGAAATTGGAATAGAATAGAATAAGGTATAGAATAGCAGATTTGGAAGGGACCTTGGAGGTCTTCTAGTCCAACCCCCTGCTTAGGCAGGAAACCCTACACCACTTCAGACAAATGGCTGTCTAATCTATTCTTGAAGACCTCCAGTGATGAAGCAGCCAGAACTTCTGGAGGGAAGCCATTCCACTGGTTAATTGTTCTCACTGTCTGGAAATGTATCCTTAGTTCTAAGTTTCTTCTTTTCTTGATGAGTTTCCACCCGTCGCTTGTTGTCCTGCCTTCAGGTCCTTTGGAGAATAGCTTGACTCCCTCTTCTTTGGGGTAGCTCCTGAGAGACTGGACCACTGCTCTCCTGTCTCCCCTGGTCCTTCCCTTCCCTAGACTAGCCAGGCCCAGTTCCTGCAACTGTTCATCGTATGTTTTAGCCTCCAGTCCCCCTCATCATCCTGGTTGCTCTTCTCTGCCCTCTTTCTAGAGTCTCAACCTCTTTTTTTTTTTACATCCTGGTGACCAAAACTGGATGCAGTCTTCCAGGTGTGCAGCCGGCCTGGTACCGACTGATTTCTCTTCTCCCCTGCAGAAAAACAGAAGCGCCGTGTCATTGTTGGAGCCCTAAAGTCACTCCCAGCTCAGGCCGGTTTTTTGATCAAGGCATTCTTGGTAGCTTTCCAGCCATTCTGCTCTACGCTTCATTGGCAGCAGCTAGTTTCAGGCCCTGGTCGAAAGAACAGCCAGGATAGTGTTCATGCCACACGCTGGGTTGGCTAAGGGACTTGTGGGAATCCAGACCTTTTGGCTCAATCAGGGGATCGGGACCAAAACAGACATGGGCACAGAATGAAGTCTGAACTTGGGCAGTGAAAGTCGGGGTTCCTAAATTGTGTGACGCTTCTGATTTGGAGACCTTCGTATCTGTAACGGACAGAAAAAAAATCATTTTATTTGCATTTATATTTGGAGAAATCCCGTTTTTTGTTCTGGCGGTGGGGTTATATTCAAAAGAGCCTGTTCTGTTGATCCCAATAACCAGCAGGTTCATCTCGACAGCAAGCGTTCTTCAGATAGCCCCTAATCCACATCCCACTGCTTTAAAAGTCAATGCAAGTCAATTTCCTTTCATGGCTAGAAAAAAATATTCTCTAATCCTGCACTACCAAAAAAATAGGGACTTTGAAACTGAATTAAATAACAAGAGGGCATTCAACCTATCAGGGCAGTGATTATTGTCCTTATTCTGCAATTAACCTAGCTGAGATACCGATCAGGGGACCTGCCCATCACTTTTAATCAGGAATCTTTTAGTGTTTGGAGTGTTTTTAATCAAGAACCTTTCAGGGTTTGCTCTTCTTAAATCGACAAAGCCACTGAAAATATCAGCTTGAAACTTCTAAAAGTTCCTCTGGAAACACCTGGAGGGTTTCATCATGGAAACTTAAGATGGCTGCAGTGGTTCAACTGAAGCTGTACCATGTTTAGCCTTGTGGGTTACCTGCCAAATTCACATTGCTGCCTAGTATTATGTTTTCTGTTATATTTGGACACCTGACCATCAGAAGCACACCGTCTTTCAACACACGTTTGTTCTTGTTAAATGACACGTACGAAAGGGTTACACATGGATGCCACAACTTGGTATGTTTTCTCTCCCAAGCCAGCTGAACTGGTTACTGGCTTGTCTACTGAATAATATCGCTCAGGCATCTTAGTGTGATTATTGTAAAGTGATTTTCGGGCTCCTGCAGGGTGACCTGGGTTGAAACCTCACACCAATCTAAAAAGCACAAAGGCTGTTGTTACTCATCAAAGAAATTACAGTAAAAATAAATTTTACTGTATTTTAGCGAAGCATTGCTTTGAATGAACGTGCAATCTTTTTTTTATCAGGAAGAAGGACAACACAACGGTTCATGCAAACCATGGTTCTGTTACATTCCTCTAATTCTGTTAATAGGGTGAGGGCAGCCGTGGCTCACTTTATGACAGGGCAAGGATTATGGGATTGCAAGTAAAGGTTGCATAAATTCTAATTGTTTGTTTGCCTTGATCGACAGTCTGGTAACTCCTCTTATTATTTATCATTATTTTATTTTTTTTATTTTTTTTTCAGATTCAAAACGACCAGTGCCAAGAGATGGACTCCACCAGTGATAAATGGGTGAAATTAACAGATAACGGAGAATGGGGTTCTTATTCTGTAAGTGCGACCTTGTGTGGCTTTTGTTAAAAGTTGAGACTTTTTTTAGACGGATTATGTTGAGCTCAGAACATCCCACAGTGGTCCAAACTATATTACAAGGTCAAAATGATTTATCTCTGGACCTGATTATTTCTGCCCTGGCTTGAAGATATTTCAGAATTTTAACAGTGATAAATTTCATGGTAAGATGCTCTGCCCTCAAACTATTTTGATCTCAAAACCCTTTTGTGGGTCTCTATTACTTAATGTCCGAATAATGAAGTGCTAACAACCCAAAAGCATTATGGTTTTTTTTTCATAGAATAGAATATGAAATAGAATATAGAATAGAATAGAATAGAATAGAATAGAATAGATTCTTTATTGGCCAAGTGTGATTGGACACCCAAGGAATTTGTCTTGGTGCAAATGCTCTCAGTGTACATAAAAGAAAAGATATATCCGTCAAGAGTCAAGAATCATAAGGTGCAACACTTAAAGATAGCCATAGGATACAATAAGCAATTGAATCATACTAGGAAACAGTCAATATAAATTGTGAGGATACAAGCAACAAAGTTACAGTCATGCAGTCACAAGTGGGAGGGGAGAGGTGATAATGAGTGATGAGAAGATTAATAGTAATAGTAATGCAGACTTTGTAAATAGTTGGACAGCGTTGAGGGAATTAGTTGTTTAGCAGAGTGATGGCGTTCGGGAAAAAACTCTCCTTGTGTCTAATTGTTCTGGTGTGCAGGGCTCTATAGCATCGTTTGGAGGGAAGGAGTTGAAACAGTTTATGTCCGGGATGTGAGGGATCTGTAGATATTTTCACAGCCCTCTTTTGACTCGTGCAGGATACAAATCATTCATCTTCCTTTTCCCCCTCTTTCCTTGGTTCTCTGAAGTTACCAGCAAATTCATGAAAATCTTATCAGTCACAACCCGGCTAATCTTAGTGAATAGTGAGTGGGCCAATGTTATCTCCAAAGCCTTTGAGGGCAGGAAAGGAAGTAAGGGTGGAAGATCATTAAAGAAAGATCTGACCTGGAACTAAGGAGAACTTTCCTGACAATTAATCAGTGGGATGCTGGTTAAGTTGTGGGAGGTTTTCAAGAAGAGACTGGGCAGTCACTTGTCTGAAATGGTATAGGACCTCCTGCTTGAGCAGGGGGTTGGACTAGAAGACCTCCAAGGTCCCTCCCAGATCCATTATTTTGTCATTCTATGAAGGGACTCACCTCTGCTGCTTCACCCGGACTGAAGAAGTGAGGCAGTCACTAATTGACTAGGCTTATGTGTTACACTGAGCCACTAGATGGCCAATTCATTTGAGACTTAGTGCCACAAACTGTGATGTTTGGTCATGGAAATTTGTGCTGTAATGAGGCCAGCCACTGTGGCTTAAGGTCTAAAAAATAAAATAACAAATCCATGGCTTTGAATGATGTAATTGATCGATTAAAGCGGCATTTAAGCATTTAAGTGAGGCCGCTTTAAGTCTTTTTTCATAAGCAGTCTCCTAGAGAACTCCAAATCTCCACCTTCCCAATAAAGAGAAAGCGCTTCTATTTTGAGATTTTGTGCCTGGTGTCTCCAGAACGGTGGGGAGAAACATCGCATAAAATGCTCGAAGGTGTGAGGCAGCCCATTTTAGTTACACACCAGTGTATCCTTATCACACATGTAAACATTTCTGAGCAAACTCATGAGCTGAACAAACAGGGCAAGGTTTTCCTTTTAGACAGGAACTCCTTTCCTCTTGGCTTGGAGTTGAGGTGGGGTGTGGAAATTGTGTGCGCTTGTGTGTGTGTACTTTTAAATTGGGTTGTCACTGTTTGGCTCTACCCTTAGTTAGTGCATTCCTTCAAGGTGCTTCAGCCAAACAAGGCGTGGTGTCTCAAAATCACATCAATCTCTGTGCTTCGTTATTCTCTCTCTCTCTCTGTGTGTGTATGTGTGTATATATGTATGTATGTATGTATGTATGTATGTATGTATGTATGTATCTTTGGTTATTCGGGTTTTCTCCCGCATAAGATTGGAAGTATCTAGGCAACGTTTCGATGAAGTCTCATTCATC